CTACTTGCAAATCCTACACTATTAATCCCTGGCATCAGCTTGTGAATGATGGAGCTTACTGTCACCTGGAAAATGTTTTATTCATCATCAGCCATTGCCATGATCTTTAAAAAATTGAACAGAAAGCATGGATAGCAACAATGACTAAAACCTCTGAATAAATTAGAACTACCTCATTCACAAGTTGAAGCCAGAGATTATCTTTAGGCTTAGCAGGTAGGCTACTTCTAGTTTTATAAAATGTATTCGTCTATTTAGAATTGTCAGCAGCACTAGACAACGCAACGATGAACAGTGTGATAATCTAGTAAAGAAAGTATAGACAACGCAACAATGAACAGTGTGATAATCTAGCAAAGAAAGCATGAAAAAACACAAACATACTGTAGGAGTTTAGTAAAGAAAGTATGAACAACGCAACAATAATCAGAGTGCAACAAAAAGCTAATTTAAACTGTAAAATAAATCTATTGTCATATGAAAATATATCGGATGTTTTCTACGTGATTTTAGTTATATTAAAATATTTCTTATTCATCTAATTTTTGTGCGGTTTTAGTATAAATATGTGGTTCAGAAAAAAATTGCCTTCTTCTAGATACTTTGGTTCTTTGTTTTCTATAGTAGATAATATCTAGTCTGCCCATAGGGATGTTGCAGTAAAACTGCATACCGGTTTTGAATGAGTCACTGACTCCCCTAATGGCCTAATGGATGATGTCTATATGTTACAGCCAGCGAATGTTGTGAGAGAACAAGAATTACGAGGTGATACCGCCCACTGGACAAAGAAACCGAGGTTACCTTTTAGATTGAAGCCTAGTTTAACCTGAAAATCGACAAGATCAGTTCTTTTTCGAGATCAACGTGTTTATCTCTACAGAGATCTATCTGGAAATAGAGAGATAACCACATTCGGGTAGAAGCGTCATTCTTATTCCCTGCGCACACTGCATTTTCTTTTTTGTTTAATTGTATTTTTTTTTTCAAAACTTCTTCAGTCTCATTATTTCACACACTAAAAAACCTCGGTCAATTTTTTAAGTGCAGACTATTGTATCAATTCCGATTAATCTATCTGATAGTTGTGAGGAAATCAGTTTTACCTGAAAATATCACAGTAGAATCCCTTCGCATTTCTGTAAATACCAATTCGGCCATATGTCATTCCTAATAGTATAAGTTTAAAAACCTACATCTGTTCTTTGTTGTGTTTGTAATGCTTTCTTCTGTTGTTGTTGTTGACAACGAAATGATTTTGTTGTCAACCTCCTGGCGGGAGCCTCGCTTTAGAAGTTTGGTGGTTAAAAGGTTACAAAACAAAAACAAAAATGTTACCATTTATTTATCTATTAATTAAAACACGTGCAATATAAAACACGTGCAATATAAAACACGTGCAATAATTTCTTTATCTCCAATGACCGTTTCTATCAATAACATTGAGTTCTATGAACCTATATTAAGTGTTTAACAAGACACATTTTGATGTCCATAATAGACAAATTAACAGGAATGTGCGGGGAGAAGTTGGGTCTATTGTGGTTTGTATCACTAATATTAGGTTAAGAATTTTCATTGCTTTGTTTCTTTGAAGTTAAGCACAAAGCTACACAATGGGCTATCTGTGCTCTGCCCACTACGGGTATCGAAACCCAGTTTCTAGCGTTGTAAGTCCGCAGACATACCGCTGTGCCACTGGGGGGGCATTTTCATTACTTTGCCAGCTTTCGGGTTTGAAAACTGTAACATAAAATAGTTTATTCCAGACGTTAATGTTATTATTTTGCCGACGCTGTTACTGCCAGTATGTAGTTAAAAACTGTTAATGTATTGTTAAAGGTGTTAATCTTCCAAGTAAAACAATCCAGTGAAAATATTCGACAATCTTTAAGAGCATACAGAAATCGGAAAATCAGCCGACTATTCACTCCCTAATCAACGAAGTTAATAATGATATATTATTAAAGAGATTGAAGTTATATTGATTCGGTAACATTGACGATATTTTACTACAGGGTTGAGTACGT